TTAGAATCCCCTGGAAGACTTGTTCAAATACAGATTGCTGGGTTCCAGTCCTGGAGGTTTTGATGAAGTAGGTCTAGGGTGGGACCTAAGAATTTGCATTTCTAATCACTTCCCAGGTGATGTTACTGCTGCTGATCCAAAGACCACATTTTTGAGAACCGCTGGAATAAACTAATATAAAAGCAAAAGCAGGGTCGGCGGAGTGGCGCGATGGTTCAGAGCTGGCTTGGGACGCCAGAAGGCCCCGGTTCGGATCCCACATATGAGGACCAGTGACACTGCCCTCCACAGCTAAGATGCTGAACAACAGCTCAACCTGGAGCTGGGCTTCTGTGAGTCGCCGGCAACGGCATAGGCTGCAGCCCCTGTGGCAGTGGGTTGCCATGGGCTACCGTATGTAGCCAGCAGCCAGCGTGAGCGGCCAGCAGCCACCGTGAGCGGCCGTCCAGAAGCCGGCGACTGATCTGCCTCACCCGGGAAGAGCGCAATGATGGTGCCAACTTGGGCCAGTGAAGCAACGTCCTCCACAACTAGACTGAAGAACAAAACGACAGCAACTTGTCTGTTCCCCTAATTCCCCAGCGCTGTTCCCATCCCCCCAATTCCCCAATAAAAATCTTTAAAAAAAAATAAAGAAGTAGCAAAAGCAGCAGATAACAGCGCACAAAGTAATCCTTACATCATCTTGACTCAGCCCCTTAACTGGGTTTGGGATTCTATCAGCACAGTCTGGACTTAGTTTATCCCACATCATGTTCCCTCTGCTTCACCTTACCCTCCTCCTCCCACTTTCTGATCTTTTCAGATTGTTTTCAGGACTTCTCTACTTTAGACCAACTCTACTATCCTTCTCTTTCTCCTTTCATAATGCCAAGGTTTCAGGACAAAGCCCTATCCTGAGCTCTTAGCTCCATTTCATTGCTTTCTCCCCCCTATCCAGTCCTAGTACCCCTACCCCAGCAGCCAGAGTGACCATCCTAAAGCTTGGCTCCAATTAAGGCCCACTTCTATCTAGCAGGGGTGTCCATTTCTCCTCCCCGGGGAGTCTGGTTCCACAAACAATATTAGCATGCAAATGACAGTCATCTGCTTGCTCTGGGAAGTCGCTGCTTGCTCCAACTTCCTTAGGACAGTGGAAACACTGAAAATACCACATTTACATGTTTCTGTTCATTTATTCACTCAACATACTTTGATTGAGCACCTGCCAGACACTGTGCTGGGCCCAAAGGACCCTGCCAGGACACATAGAACACGAACACATGTTCATGGCAGTCCCTGAGAGTCCACAACACCTCTTAATGAAGGGGATTTTTTTGGCTCCACTCATCAACAAGGACCGACATTCAAGGAAAACATGGACCATTTACACATGAGCCCTCTTGCCTCAGCCCTTCTTCTCTGCCCAGGACCAAAGACTGGGAGACACAAACCCAGTGAGTTTCCAGACTTCTTTGTTGAAATAAGCATGATAATCCATAACTCTCAGTTACTGGCCCACTGCATTGAGTGAGGTATGGTATGTGAAGCCCTGAACATAGCATGCTAAAACCTCTCTACACATACCTGTTAAGACAGGGGATTGTAATGGTGGCACTAAGCCTCCTCTTTTGCAGTTTGAATCTCTGGTATAATTTGATTTAACAAGTGTAATTTAGCTTGGGACTTTTTGAAAACTTTGTTTTCTTTGCCTCTTAGTGATTCAGCTTTCTATACATTTACTACGCAGTTTCAATATTTCTATTTACTTAGGCCCAGTGCTGGCCCTGTGACTTGGGAGAGGTTTTGCACCTGCATGGGGTCCACTCTCCTGGCTCCAACTTAAATCTACATAACATATGCAAAGGTTGCCATATCCAGCTTAACCGCACCTTCCCCCACCCCCAGGCCAAAGCAATTTACATCCCGGTTAGAAAATACAAAACTTGAGACCAACCAAAGACTTGACGCAGTAGTTTGCAGTACTTTCCAGCAGACTATGTCCAGCTGACCCTTCTCTTACTTTAATAAATCTCCCATATTTCTTTTTTTTAAAGATTTTATTGGGGAATTGTGGAAGGGGAACAGACAAGTTGCTGTCCTTTTGTTCTTCAGTCTAGTTGTGGAGGACGTTGCTTCACAGGCCCAAGTTTGCACCATCATTGCGCTCTTCCCCAGCGAGGCCAGATCAGTCGCCGGCCTCTGGACAGCCGCTCACAGCGGCTGCTGGCTACACACGGTAGCCCATGGCAACCCACTGCAGCAGGGGTTGCAGCCTACCTGTTGCCTGCTACTCACGGCAGCCCAGCTCCAGGTTGAGCTGTTGTTCAGCATCTTAGCTGTAGAGGGCAGTGTCACTGGCCCTCATATGTGGGATCCGAACCGGGGCCCTCTGGCGTCCCAAGCCAACTCTTAACCAACGTGCCACTTGGCCGGCCCAATCTTCTGTATTTCTATATGCTACCTGTTTTCATGAATTCTTTCACTGCCCAAGAGTGAGCAGACAAAACAATACCGACACCTCCACTGACACCACACAATGACACATATAACAACACACACATTGACATGCACATACTGACACACACACCAACACACAATATTGTCATACACAGGTTTACATACATGCCGACATACACTGAAAATACACACCGATACACACATGGACACAGACACACACTGAAACACACACACTGGCAGACATGCACCAACAAATACAAACATAGGAGTAAACGCATGCCAATAACACAAACATTGAGACATACTGAAACACACAGACACACAGTGGACACGAACACTGACATACAAATGTACACCTACTCACACATCAACACCAACCCACACGCCACGGAAACTGGGAGGCCCAGGCACCAGGGGGGCTTGCAGACGCAGGAGCGGGTCTTGGCGGGGCCAAAGCGTTGTAGGAGACTTGAATTACACTCTTGGTTCCGCCCCCAAAGGTACAGCGTTTTGGAGGAGGAGGCCTCCTTGAGTTTCTGAGCGTCCCTAGGGACAGGCTGGCGGAGTAAGGCACATGGGCGTGGCCCCAAGGATTCCACTCTAAATCGCTGGTCAGCGCGGAGCGCTAAGGCAGGAGAGTAGTGCGCTAGAAGGCAGGCAGGACTCACCAGAGCCCTGTACTCCGTCCGCCCAGCTCCACAGGCCCTGCCCCCGCTCCGGGTATAAGCTCTCAGCTCTGGCTTCCAAATGCATGTTTCTCTTCCCGACACCACCCAAGCCCCATGTCCAGATCAGAGCTGGTGACCTCAGGCCCTTCCCCGTGCACCACGCCCCAGCCTTTGCCAGGAAAGATCTGTCTCTCTCCCAGACACTCAGCCTGGAAACTGCAGGTCACTTCTGACTCCCCGCCCCCATCCGGTCCCAGCCCAGACTTACAACAGTTCCTCATATACAGCCTCGTTGTGTCTTTCTTCTGTTACCCCTCTCCCTCGACAAACACACCCAAATCCTCTGTCCTCCAGTTCTTGACACGCTTAGTTTGTCGCTTCCTGTGTGCCAGGCCCCGAGCTAGGCACTTAGGGATGCATTGTGCGGAGTCCTTGTTCTCCAGGTGCACTCTGCACATAAGAAACTCCCCGCGAAACAGGGATGAGAAGCACTGTCCCAGCAGGTGGAATCAAGTGCCACAGAAACGCTTTATGTGGCCACTGCATTTCTGCCTTCTCTCCTTCTCCCCAGGTCTCAGGCCTCTGAGTTGGGTCCCTTCTCCCTGGTTCCGGTTTTTCGTCTTTCCTTCCTCCTGCCTCCCCGTCAACTATTCCCGCCTTGGGCCACTGTGGGGCCATCTCCCGCGCCCGCATCCCAGATCCCCTGCGGACTGGTCTTTTGCCCACAGGCCTGCCTCCTCCGCTTCCCCTGCGGTCCCGTGTGCCACTTCAGGGTTTGGGTCCCTCTTTGAGACCAGAGCACCTGCCCTTTTGAGGAGTGGATTGGAGTGTCCCGCACGCTCGGGCCTCAGGCGCGCCAAATCTGCCACCTTTTGCCAGTCCCAGGGAACCAAGCCAGGGGCCACTCCCGGGGGAGGGGAATGGGGCCGTCAAGGTTGGAGAAGTGGAGAGGTGTCGAGGGCAAGGAAGAGGACCCGCGGCGGCAGCTGACCAGGAGGAAAAGGAAAGTGGGTAGCCACAGTCACTGCCTCCGGAGGTTCTCCCCTCTGTGCACCGCTGGCTGCCTAGTCCCGGGCTCACCCAAGGTTAAGGCGCAATCAGGAGGCGGGACAGAGCCACCGGAGGCTGCTCCGGGTCACTTCCCACTATTCCGCTTGACAGAGCTGGGGGCCGTCACCCCCAAGCCCCTACTCTGACTTCCCCGAGGTCCTGGCTCGAGAGGGGGTGGGCGGTCTGAGCCTCAGCTCCTAACCTGAGCGTCTGGGGCTGGATGAGGAGAGGAAACGTGCGGCAGGTCTGTATTAAGTACCCAACAGTGGTGGCTCGGCGCCACGAAATTACAGCCTACTGCACCCGAGGCTTGGAAACCCGAGCCGAAGGGGAGCTTAGTCTCTGGACCGCTGGCCTCAGACTCGGGATGTCACAGCTCAGTTTCAGGGCCGCAGTGCGGCTCCCCTCACCGCTCCCTTTCTAAGACCCACCCTGGAGCGGCAGGTGCCGCAGCTGCTCTCTCGCTTCCCCCGCCTCAGTAGCACTCCGGGGCCATGGGGGTGTGGGGGAAGGTATGGTGGAGCAGCGAGACGCTAGAGGCGGATACTGGAATCCCAGCACCCTGATATCTCGGTGGAGAGGAAGAAGGGGTCCAGGGGGCGGCGAGGAGGGAAAGGAGGACTGCAGAGCTCAGCAGCCGAGCTGTCCGCAGGAGGTGGAGGAGCGGGGGCTCCCTTCCAGCCTTTGGGGGTCTGGGATGTAAGGCGAGAGCAGGGGGGTGTGACAATTCAGCAGAGGTCGGGACGTACCACGGAGCCCAGTGGCTGGGGGAGGCAGGACATGGTCATCGAGGGGAGCCCCCGCTCCCCCTTCGCAAAGGCTAAAGACAGAGGTTGCAAGGACAACTGGTAGGGGGCTGGTAGCGGAAAGCGGCGAGTTAAATCCGTCCCCTCCCCAGATCCCACTTCCGAGGGAGTGGGCGATAGAGGGGAGGTGGGGTTGGACCAGCTGCGAGGGGGCCCCTCCCTTGCACCTCCCCCCACCGGACTTGGTCGCGCCCGAAGTGTAACACTTTCTCTTTGTCGGAGGAGCTGTGCTGTTTTCTGTGCTGGAGCTACAGTTGCGGCGACGCCCGTGGCAGCCCTGGCCGACGCAGGAGAGATGGCAGCGACCGACATAGCTCGCCAGGTGGTGAGTGCAGGGGTTGGGTGCCAGAGCCGGGCCTGGGGACCTGGGGGCCTGGGCAGGGCCGAGGAGACCTGGCTGCCGCCAACGCCACCGCGAGGAAGGCAGTGGGCAGCATCCAGGAGCCAAAGCACGGCGGGACTTCTGATCCCGGGGTCAGCGGCTCAGTCCCCCAGCTTGTTCTGGAGCACAGTGACGGTGGCGGGCTGGTGGGGGGCCTGGCCAAGGCCGCCGGATGGCGCCTGAACTTAAATTACCCAAGATCTGCAGTAAGCGCTGCCGCTTCCCTCGCTGCAGCCACTGCCCGGCCGCTGGGGCGTTGCCGAATGAATGGCCGCACAAGCCGCCAAGCCCTCTGGATTCCTGGCACCATGGCCTGGCTTCCTCCATCGCCAGGCCGCGCCCCTGCACACAGCTTCCCGCCGGGACTGAGCCTTCTTAGGAAGAGGGGCGCAGGGCTGGGGTTAGCCGGAGGCTGGAGGCGGTGAGTGGTGAGGGGGGCAGAGAGGTGACTGGCGGGGGGAGGGGCTCTCCATATGCGTTACATGTGTGACTGCGTCTGTGAGTGTGTAGCATTGTGTGCGCCTGAGTGCACGCGCGCGCACTCGTGCCTCCCCCGCAAGCGGCGCCCGGCTGCTCTGTGACCCTAGATGAGTCCGCCAGTTTCTCTGCGTGTGCTCACCTCCAGGGTGTGTGCCCGTGTGTCCAGACGCCTCTCAGCTTGTGCTGCGTGTCTGAGTCCCATTTGTCCGTCTGTGTGGGGTGTAGCACACTGGCCTGTAGGTGGCTGGCTGCGTATTTTGGCAGGTTTCTGAGTGCCTGATCCGGGTTGTGCGGGTCCCCGGGGGTCTGTCGTGGTGCGTGTTTGGGTGTAACTGGGCTTGTGTGCCAAAACCTGTGGAGCTGGCTTCTTTCTATGGGGACTCATGAAAATAACTGAGGTTTGCAAAAACAGTACTGTATCTCTTTTTGTTGGCAACCGACACTGGGGGGGGGGATCTTCATTTAAAGAACTGAAGTTTTCCAGCCTGAGATGTGCAGAGAAATCAAATTGAAGTGACCTGAGACTCCATGCTTGTTTTTGTAGACCAAAAGTTTGGTTGCAAAGGGAGGGGATGATTGCATTTGGGGGAACAACCTAGCCTTTCTGTTCATCCATGGGTTTCTGGGATTTTCAGAAGCCCACAATTACTAGCACCCTGAGGCCAGGAAGGAGAGTGAAGTAGGGGTAGGTCAAATCTCAAGATGCTAAATACGACTTGATAAAAATCTCTGAAACACACACAAAAAATGTTTTAAAGCCTTGTGGTTTACTTGTTAAGGGAAACAGTCCATGCAATGTAATTCCAGTGGAAAAAAAATAGCTTCGAGGTGTTTGGTGTAATTGAAATTGATTTGTTTTCAAAATGTGAATCTGGAATCCGGGTATTTTCTCTACAGGATATGTATGAATTTTTTCTACCCTCTTGTCCCTGTTTGAAAGAGCAAGGTGATTTCTTTGGATCCTCCCCCACACCCTGCAGACCTCAGCATGGAGTTCTTTATGTAGTCACCATGTGGAAGGACCCAGACAAGAGACAATACACTTGGATAATGGAATTTGAGAGAATTCTCTTCTCCCCAAAATTGGCACTGTAATATTTATTACTTTAGTGTTTTGAGGGTTCCCAGAGTGCTTTTCTGTTCCTGGTTACCTGCATTTTAGAGATCATGGCTTAAGTGGAGGAATTAGTCTGGTGGATTACACTTACCCTGTCCTTAGTGACCAAAAAGGATGCAAATGATTTTTCTTGTCAGCTAATTAATTTGCATTGACCTGTCCATACTCTCTCACTAGTCCCCTTGCCTGGCATAGGATTGCAAGGCAGATGTTGTAAAGGCGGAACATTCTAGAAGGTTGTGTTTCACCTCAGGCACAACTCAGGCAACCCAGAGATCCTCTTTGTTGTGCAGATGGAGGTGGGGGTGGTTTAGGACCACTTGGTTTGCTTTGCATAGTTCCAGTTTGCTCTGGCCAGCCATGCCATACTGTTTGATGAAGAACATAACTGTATGCCAGATTCTGAAGCTCAAAGAGCACCCTGAGTACTTGAGACCTTGTTATCATGATAAATGGGTTTCTGGGAAAACTGACGTCACTCTCCATGCCCCCCTCTCCCAGCCAGTGAAACTCTTGTTTAATGTGTCATTTGTCTCTGCTCTCCTTTGTGTCTGCCAGAAGTTGTAATTCCCCAGGGGAAAATGGAATTAACTCAGGAGAACTTGGATGTCTAGTTGCAGCTTGTTTCTTCCAGGAAACATGTACCCAGGGGTTGGGAAGAGAAGGCTGAAGAATAAACCTAAGTGTGCCTGGCTTAAGAGTTCTTTTTAGTGAGCTCTGAGACATGGTGCCATGCAAGTAGTCCTCTGGTATGTGTTGTGTGTGTGTGAGGGGGCGGGGGGGGGGCGGCGTGTCCTTTCCAGAGTCAGTGGAGGGTCACTCTGGCTGGTAAGGCAACATTGTTTGTGATTAAAACAGGCCTTAGAGTTGTTGGGTATGCATGTAACTTGGAAGTTTACCTCTTGCGTACATATACAATCTCATCCCATTTGAATGAACACCACGAAGATTCTGTATGACAAAACAATTTTTCCATTGTGACCACAAGTGTTTATTTGATTGACTGCTAAGTGTTCAGCACCATGGCTAGCCCTGGTCAATTATATAAAAAAAAAGTAGTAGGCATAGCTTCTGGCTTTTAAGCTCACAGTCTATTTAGAGAGACAAATTGCGTACACAATAATTAGAGAACTATAGCAAATTTTTGGAATGTCCCCACCCCCAACCCCTGCCTGTGAGGTGGCTTGGCTGCTATTAATATATACATATTCTCAAAGGTTACATGACTTGTCCAAGGTAACCTAGCCAGGCACAGTGCAGGCCCCAGAGGCTGCATTTCCTAGCTCTTGCATTAAGCTGTTTATTTTATTGTTGCATTTTGGGGTACAGACTGTAAGTACTGGCTCATAGAAAGAATAGCTCCTTGATTCTGGCTTCAAACAATCCCACGATGTGGGCAATGATGCTTTCTTCTAGTAGGGTAATGGTCTTTCTCCCTAACGAAAGAGTTTTCAGGAGATAACTTTGCCCTATCTGGGGTTGGCCTGGGGCCACTGTCCCAGAGCATCTGCCTACAGGTGGCTGCACTCTGGGCTCACTATCAAATGGCACTTCACCTAGATGACCCTTAAAGTTTCCTGCCCCAGCCATCTCCACCACCTCACACCAAAAGTAATATTGTACCCTAAACAGGGAGAGCAAAACCCCAGTATTCACCTATACCTCTATTGGTGATACAGCATTGAAGAAACTTTACATGGCCCCAAATATCAAAGCTTCTTGAATCTAAGTGAAGGGTATATGGATGATCATTGTACTGTTTTCCAACTTTCCTGTGTGTTTGAGACTTTTCAAAATAAAAAGTTGGGGGGAAATTACAAGGCACCCCCCTAGCTGCACATGGCCCCTTCCCTCAGGGAGTCTACGATCTGGTAGTGGAGGCAGACAGCCAATAACTATACAATTATCTTGTGGTAAATACTGCACAGGAAAGCTATTGCCTGCTATGAGAATTTATTTAAAGGGGACCTAATCCAGCAGTGAATGGGTGTGGTGGGTGACAGGAAAGGCTTCCTGAGAGCTTCATCTAGGAAAAGGGTAGGTGGGAATATGGGTGAGGTCTCACTTCTGCTACTGGACTGGGAACATTTCCTTTGTTAATTCACGCACTTTTATTTTCATTCATTTCTTCAACATGTGGGAGAAACTTTATTGGGCAGCGACTCTGCCAGGCTCTGTGCCAGGTGCTGGGGATCTAGTGGTGGCTGAGGCCATTAAGACTCTGCCCTCTCAGAGCTTCCAGATGAGAGGCAGGAAGGAATAAGTCCCATTTCCTTTTCCTATACCAAATCCCGGAAATGTGTGTTAGCAGTGTTCTTATTCCAAAACTGCATTATAACTGAGCGATTTGTTTGTGTAGTATAATAAGATTTTGATCTGCAGTCATGTGCATAGCATTTACTTTGTGGAGTCTCTGCTGTAAATTTTCTATTAATTGTTGACTTTGTTATCCAGCACAGCCCCTCCCTTTGTGTGCTGTAAGGGAGCTAACCAGTTGTATTAGCCTGAACAGAACTAATTAGGAAACTAAGTCCACTGGGAAAAGGTATTCCAGAAGAAAATAGGACTGATTTCTGGACTTTCCTGGCTCCTGGATTATCAGAGCTGTGGCATGAACAACTGAGAAGGGCTTCTAGTTGCATGTACATTAAAACCACAGTCAAGAAAGAGAGAAAAGAAAGAAAACAAACACTATGGATAAGTGTAACATGTTTCTTTCAATGATCTCAAAATGCTTCCATTTGTATGATGTCATTTTCCCCAATAGTTTCCTAGACAAGTATTATTGTTCTCTTCATTTTATGGGTACAGGGAGACCAAGTGACTTAGTCCAAAGCGTTATTGTTGGTCAGTGGATGAAACAATGAAACACCTACCAGAAGACACAGATTCATATAAAAACAAACACTCTGGCCTTTTCATGATGTTTCTAAGAAATGAAAATCCTGCCACTTCCTCTCTTCTCCCTTTCTTCACAGCACTCCCCTCACAGCACACTCATGGGGGTAAGAGGGGAATATACTTGGGTGCATGGGTGCATTGAAGACTCTCTGATGTTTAAAAAAATTTGCAGTTTAGATCCAGATAGCACAGTTATGGGTTATGTGTAGATTTCCGCCTTGCCCTCCCATATTGCCTTAAATAAAAATCTTGGAGCCACCAGTCATGTAATGATGGATTATTTTAAGTAACAACTGGCGGGTGGGGAGGGCAGAATAAATTAGAAACACAGACCCTTTCTCCTAGGTTTGGCAGGAGGAAGCTTCTGCTACCGCGATTTGGGATTTGAAACCATGGGTTTCTCTGCTGCCTGCACAGAGGAAGGAGGCCACATGCTCAGGAGGGT